CACCTCTTTCCTGAACAGGAAAAGTGGCTAGGAGGGCAGAGGTTTGAGATTAATGACGATCTTCAAAACAATGGTAAAGACTATCTCAAGTCATTGGTGGCAATATTCTATGACAAGGGAATGGAAAAGCTCGTCCACAGATATGACAAATGTCTCAATCTTCACGGTGATTATGTCAAAAAGTAACCATGTTTATACCTAACTTTTGGTAATAAATTCATTTTATTTACACTTGTTTTTTTTTATGGAGCATCAGAGCTTGAAAAAAAAAAACAGCCTACATATGTTTATATGATTATGATTAATATTTGGATTTGATTAAACTTTTGATATTTAACATTAAGAACTATGATAAATCTGTTTACTTTTACTGTAATTTTTTATTTTGTACCTTAAATTTATACCTTAATAACTTGAACATAATTTAGTAATTTAGTAATAAACACTGTTATAAAATTTAAGTTATTTAAAAAAAATTAAAGACTAAATACAAAAAACTTTGATGTCTTCCTTTATTATTTACAACCACAGGAACACAATTAACATGAGTAGAGTTGACTTTTCTTTACAGGCTTTTCTCTGCTTACAAATATGTAAATTGATTAAAAAATCCCTCAGGGATTTTTAATCAGTTTATCAAAACTTTTTGAAAAACCTTTAGAAGAGCTTCAAAAGAAAAGTCAGCTCTTCTCTGCTCTGCATTTTTAATACAGTGATTCTTTCTTTGTTTACAGTGTTTTGATTTTATATTTATAAATTTAATAGAGTATTTTGTTTTACAGGCTCATGATATCAAAACAGAACCTGAGTCATATATAAAATTTGAAGGAAATTATGAATCTGATAAAATAAATGAGAATGAAATTTCAAATTCTGCTTCAGATTCACTATATCCAAGTATAAATAATGTAAGAAATTAAATTACTTGATTAACAAATTAATGTTGTATAAGCAGTTATTCTTAATGTATTAATTAGAAATTAATGCCAGTTCAAGTGTTCTGCGAAAAAATCAAATATACAATTAAAAATTGTTGCAAAAGAGAAATCAATACAATTAAAATAATTTTTGTATGGTAATGTAATCAGCAAACTTTTAATCTTGGAATGTTGTCGGATGATGATATTTTTTTAGTTAATTGAAGACACAGACTGCTAATGATGTCATATACTAGACCGAGTGTGCTCTTGATTTCAAAAATGTTTGCCATTCCTGCTTTAAAGCTGATGTATTGTAAGTGTTTCGCAAGAAAATGTCAAAGTATAGTGTTTTCTGACTTCAAAAAGATTGAGAACCATGATACTAGACAATGCATGCATTGCTTTTTCATATTACATAATTGTTTTAACATCCATTTTGTGTATAAAATTTTAGAGCTAATTAATACAGGTGTTAATTTGCTTCAAAATTTAAACTTTACAGATTATACAATAATACCAAATGTAAATATTTTTCCATAATTTGAAAGTGATGAATGTAAGGTTAGATTTAGATGAACTCTGGATTAATATGATAGTGATGCTTAAAATATTCTTTAGACTGTTATATAAAATCCCTGCGATATACTATCTACATTATAATGCAATTAAAAACATTTAAATGAAAATTATATCTGATTTATATAGTCAAATCTGAATTTGATTATGATAGTAAATATATCATTAACCATTAAATCAATCATTTAATCAATAAATATTTGATATTTACTATATTATGGAATTTTGTATGCAGTATTTTCTTGTTACATTGTATTGAAAATTTATTGTTTATTGAAAACAGATTTTAAAGTCAGTACAAAAAATTTACTGACTGAATCTGTCTTTTCAGTTTTTAAATCTATAACTCTGTCTCCTTCATTAAAGTTTGATACATGTTAATAATGAAGAAACTCTACTAAAATAAAGAATATACCATAAGACATTTCAACACCACCATTATAATTCATAAGGTTACTTCCCAGACTTAAACTTACAACTTTACTTAAATGTAAGTTTATATCAAAGTTGGAGTTTTAATTGGTACAATTTCACTGGCTCCATCTCCACATTCATGGTTAAAAGATATAAAACTATATTCATAACATGTTCTGCTTTTATTTTATTAAAAATTTAATAAAATCTCTTCTAAAATACTTTTATAATTAAAACTGCAATCTAACATATAGTTAGTTATAATTCACAATATGTTAATAATTAATTGAATATTTATTTGATTTCAAATAGTTACCTTGTCTTGTACTGATGCCTTTAACCAAAATTAAAGTTTAACCACTCAACAATGAGGGATGGATATATCCATTCAATTCTTTTGGGGTATTGCCAAAAACTACTGCAAAAAAAAATTCACATAAAAAATGAATTATGTAACAATAAAAAAAGACTTTTCTTTACTAGACATAACTGTTCATAAAATCTTTTTCCGAAATGGTAATGAGAAAAAGCACGTGGAAAAAATTTCCCATGTTTATTCTCTACTACTTTGGGGTAGCACCATACCTGACTATCCCACTGTTGAAAGCTTAATACACAATATGCTAACATTAAGAGCAGATGTATTCTTAAGATGCTCTTTTTATACTGACACAAGAACATCATTAAAGTAGGAATTATTTTGAGCTGTTCATTCTACAGATTATGTAAAAGTAATAATTAATTGATAATCAGAAAATCTTTAATTTAAATATTAAAATTTATAAAATATGGAAAATAATTGTTGTAATTAATCTATAGTTTATTATATTAAAGTAGCATACAGAAAATATAAGAATACTTTTTTGAAAATAACTAAATGAAGTTTAATTTTTACTGTTTAAATATATATGTATGTGTATAATTTAGATAAATTTTACTAATGTTATGAGTTTTAACTAATCATGTTTTTTAACATTTACAGGATATTAAAGAAAATAATACAAATGATACAGAATACTTTCATGAGAAATCTAAACTTCTCTTCCCTCCAAAAGAAACCAATGCAACATCTCTTCTTTATAAAGGAAATGATACTTCCATGCCTAACATAAATCATTTCAAACGGCAGTCTATTGAATATAAAACTGAAGTCAACAAAGGTATGTGAATTATATTATTTTAAAAATTAAAACAAATGGTTTTTTAAGTATCAATGGAATATTATCCAAGCCACTTTTGATATTTAGAAATTGCATTTATTTTATTTGTTTTGTAATGAACACAAAACAATTCATTGAATAGAAATTTAATTGTTCAGAGATGTCTTCTCTATGTAAATTATTAAAATAAAAAACTTCAAACTTAAGTGACCAAATAACTAGAAAATTGTCATTACGGATTCAAATATTTACTGTGTTTCCCTGGAAATAAGACATCCTCTGAAAATAAAACCTAGCATAGGTTTTGCTGAATTGCTAAATATAACACCTCCCCCCGAAAGTAAGACCTAGCAAAATTTTTTTTTACTCCTAATGGTCATCGACAGATGGTTGAAAGTGTCCGTTGGCTTTTTGAAAGTACAGCCACTGATTGGTCAGCAGACATTCAGGCCACATGGCATGATTTGCATAAAACTATGTTTTGGGTATCACAGATTTGCATAACATTACAGCTGGTGATGGCTAATTGGTCGGCCGGGAATCACGCCACATTACATTTACATAGTGCTACGGTTGAATAAGCACTAATTGGTCATCAAGCCCGATGTTGACACTATAAAACAGTTAAGTTGAAGCGAGAGTGGAAAGTCCACTCCAGCATGGGAACTTCGTAAGTTCATGTCGGTTTTATTTAAGTTCAGTTCGACACAACCGGATATACATCACTGTCGTCTAAGTTTGACTTGGGAATTTTTTTGTTTGATAATAAATGTGAATTCTTCTTCATGGAAAAAATAAGACATCCCCTGAAAATAAGACCTAGTGCATATTTCAGAGCAAAAATTAATATAAGACACTGTCTTATTTTCGGGGAAACATGGTAGTGCGCAATTGGAGAGGCTCTGCAAAACCTGAAGTTTGAACCGATTCCACACCCTCCTTATTCTCCTGATTTTGTGCCTTGCGATTTTTATTTTTTTTCCTCTACTCAAGAGCGACCTCAAAGGTAATCATTATACCACGGACAATGAGGTGAAGACAGCTGTCAAGTCCTGGATTCGAGAAAAGTTGGAAGAATTTTTCAGTGACGGAATGAAAAAACTTGTTACACGTTGGGAGAAATGTGTTAGCCTTAATGGTGACTATGTTGAAAAATAAATATATGATTTTGAAGCTTAAGAATTGTACTTTAATGTATAAGGACCTTGAATAAGTTCTTGCTGTTTTTTGTGAAAATTAACACTTTATTTAAAAAAAAGTCGTAATAAACATGTCACTGAAAGTATTGTCCATCGCTAGTCACTACTTTCTCCCATCATTCTGGTATCATTTGAATTCCATGTCGGAAAAACGACATATCTTTTGAGACTATTCAAGAATCAACCCATTTTTTGGCATCTTCATAAGAATAGAAGTGCTGCTCAGCCAGGCCATGTGCCATCGATCGGAACAAGTGATAATCGGAAGGGGCGATGTCTGGTGAATACGGCGGGTGGGGTAGGACTTCCCATTTAAGCGTTTCCAAATACGTTTTCACTGGTTGTGCAACATGTGGCCGAGCATTGTCATGTTGCAAAATCACTTTGTCGTGTCTCTGCTCGTATAGCGGCCGTTTTTCCTTCAATGTTTGGCTCAAACGCATCAATTGTAGTCGATGGCGATCTCCTGTGATGGTTTCGTTTGGTTTGAGCAACTCGTAATAAACTACACCTAGTTGATCCCACCAAATGCAGAGCAGAAGCTTCGAACCATGGATATTCGGCCTTGATGACGATGTTGATGCATGGCCGGGCTTACCCCATGATTTTATATGCTTAGGGTTATTGTAGTATATCCATTTTTCATCGCCTGTCATGATACGATGCAGAAAACCTTTCTTTTTCTGCCGTTGAAGCAGCTGTTTACATGTGA